CCAACAGATGAATGGATAAAGAAGATGTGGTATATATATACAATGGAATATTATGCAGCCATCAAAAAATGAAATCTTGCCATTTGCAATGACATGGATAGAACTAGAGGGTAAGTGAAATAAGTCAATCAGAGAAAGACAATTATCATATGATCTCACAGATATGAGGAATTTGAGAAATAAGACTGAGGATCATAGGGGAAGGGAGGGAAAAATGAAACAAGATGAAACCAGAGAGGGAGACAAACCATAAGAGACTCAATCTCAGGAAACAAACTGAGGGTTGCTGGAGTGGAGGGGTGTGGAAGGGATGGGGTGGCTGGGTGATGGGACACTGGGGAGGGTATGTGCTATGGTAGCACTGTGAATTGTGTAAGACTGATGAATCACACACCTGTACCCTTGAAACAAATAATACATTATACATTAAATGAATAAATAAATAAATAGGAAAAAAACAATGCACATATATTACAGCTTAGAAGAAACAAAAAAAGAAGATAAAAGGAAAAAAACTGAAGAAATGAATAAGGTAAATAAATGGCAAAGAACCCATTTTGGAAGGAAACATAACCCAAGAAGCCAAAGAAAATTCTCAAAGGCCTATTCATGATAAGGAACTTAAAAACAACAAAATCAATTAAAAACAAACTCTAAAAGGCAAGATAAAGCAGAGTAACACGAAACGGTAGTTTGTGCTAAAGAAATAAACATACAACCAATAAACATATCATTACTTAACGAATTCTTTTAAAACATCATGGAACAGAACAGATACTGGTAGAAAAGAAATAATGACAGAAAGGAACATGTAAGATGACTGAAGTAAATGCAGAAGCAAAAGTCAAAACAATTAGAAGATAAAACATATGGAGAACATAAGAAAATTCAATGTAAGGAAAATTGGTGTCATCAAGTGGAGGACCCAATAATTGGACAAAAAAATCTTCATGGTAATAGGGTAAATGCTCCTAAATGAAGAAATAAACCTAGAGATTTCAGATTATACTGTAATCCAAGGAAAAATGATTATGAATGACACGTAGATGTACCCTGGTTACATTACTGACCTTCAAAAATAAAGGAAAAAATTGTCAGGCATTTTGGATGAGAAAGCAAGTCACTTTCAAGGAGGCAGAAAAAAATTAGACTTTTCTACACTAACATTCATTGCCCCAATATAATAAAATAATGACCACAAAGTTCTAATGAAAGTGTTCCCTAAGGATATTACCTCCTGCCAAGTTGTTTTTCAACAATGAAAACACCAGGTAGACAGACTCAAAACATTACAGGAAACAACAGCATTAAAACTCAAAAAATATATCGCTCACAAATCCTGATGAAAAGAAAAGGAAATCCAGGCAATCAAAAAATACTAAGAGAGCAAGAAGCAATATCTGTTAAGTTCTGAGGGAAGGAAATCATGATCTGGAAATTTTATACC